CTGGGAGGACTGGGGGGCCTCCTTAGGGTCATTTGGGGCTACTGAGTGAGGTCCTGGGGGTCCATGGGGAGGCTTGGGGGCTCCTTAGGGTCATTTGGGGCTACTGGAAGGGGTCCTGAGGGTTCCTGGAAAGACTGGGGCGCTTCTTAGGGCCCTTTGGAGTTATTGGGGGGAGTCCTGAGGCAGTTGGGAGGCACCTCAGAGCCGTTTGGAGCTACTGGGGGGGTCCTGAGGGGGGCCGGGGGCACCTTGGTTTCATTTGGAGCTATTTGGAGGAGTCCCTGGGGGTCCATGAGGTGGTTTGGGGTTATGGGATGGTTCCTGGGGGGTGATTTGGGGAGGTTTGGGGGCACCTCGGTGTGGGTTGGGGCTATGAGGTTCCCAGGGGATCCCTGAGGGGGGGGTCATGGGGTTCTGAAACATTTTTGGGGGGGTGCTGGTAGTTTGTGGGCTTCACTGGGGAAACTTGGGGCTTTCACTGCGGGGCACGAGAGGGTCTGCGTGAGCTCAGGAGACTCTGGGAAGCACGAAGGACCCTGGAAATGGAGGAGGGGTCTCAAAAGGAGGGTGCCAACCCCCCCAAATCCCCCTCCCCACCCTCAGGTGGACGCGCAGCTGACGCAGCTGGTGGCCCTGCAGGAGCTGAGCGAAGCCGAGCGCCGCCTGCGGCACCTCCTGCTCACACTCTTCCAGGAGGTGTTTTCTGAGTTCTTCCCCGGTCAGTCGTGCCCCCCTCCCCCACGTTAAACCCCCCTGTGCCCCCAACTCAACCCTCATTTACCCCCACCTCCCCCATTTCCTTCCTCCAGGCTGCGCCGTACTTCCTTTCGGTTCCTCCGTCAATGGTTTTGATTCGCACTGCTGCGACCTGGATCTCCTCCTGGATCTGGAAGCCACCAAATCTCTGGGGCGGGGCGACGGATCCGATGAAGATTCCATCCTCAGCGACATCGATCTGAGCTCTGCCTCCCCCGAGGAGCTCCTGGATTTGGTGGCCACCGTCCTCCGTCGCTGCGTCCCCGGCGTCACCCGCGTCCGTCCCGTCCCCGCCGCCCGTCGTCCCGTCGTCAAGTTCTGCCACAAGCAATCCGGCCTGCTGGGCGACATCTCCATCGACAACAGGTGCTCTTAGCTTTTTGGGGGCTGTTGGATGCAATTTTTAGGAGGGGAGGTTGTTTGGTATCCGTATATCCAGCGTCAGATGAAGAAACAACGGTTCGAATGTTGGCCCGAGGGGTTTATTAGAGGTCTGAGTCAGGGAGATGGGGAAGGGGAGGGTGGGCAGTGTTGTGAATTAGAGTGGTGGGGAAGGAAGGAGGGCGGTAGGAAAGGAAAAGCAAGGAGTGTTTATAGGAAGCAAAAGGGAGATGGGAACCAGCATGGATCCAGCGTGGTTCGTAGTTCTGTCATTGATCTTCAGTAGTGCTGGGTCAGCAGGCGTTGCTGCTCTGGTGACAGTGGTGACCATGGCAACTTTCCATGGTAGCCCCAACTTATTTATAAGTCCAAAGTGCTCGGGTCAGCCCTCCTTGCAGTGGCAGCTCCTGGCTCTGGGGTCTTAGCAGAAACCCCTTTGTTCCCATCATCCAGGCCTTGCCAGCAGATCAGAGGGAGCAGGGATGCCCAGCTGCTTCCTCTTTTTCACAGCACGCGATGGTTTATTCCCCAGTTTTCCCATACCAAGCTGGAGCTGTTTAGTCACAGGCCAAAAAACCCTTGAGCTAAAAAACAAAGAAGGATTCTCACATGCATTCTGTTGTTTTTTTTTTTTTCCCCTCTTCTGATTTGGGGAGGGGTCCCGTGGTCTTTCTGTCCCTGAGCTGTGCTCCTTGCAGGCTGGCGCTGCATAACACGCGGTTCCTGCGGCTCTGTGCTGAGGCAGATCCACGTGTGAGGCCACTGGTGTATGCTGTGAGGCTGTGGGCAAAGCAGCAGGGGCTGGCAGGTATGGAGCAAGGGATGGAGGAATGCCAGGCATCGATATGGACTGGAAGGAGCAGACCTTGAGAGCAGCCCTGCAGAGAAGGACCTGGGGGGGTTCTGGGGGGTGAAAAGCTGAGCGTGGGGCTGCAGTGTGTGATTACAGCTGGGAAAGCAAATGGGAGCCTGGGCTGCATCAGCAGAGGGGTGGCCAGCAGGGACAGGGAGGTGATTGTCCCTCTCTGCTCTGCTCTTGTGAGGCCACAGCTGCAGCACTGCGTCCAGGGCTGGGGGTCCCAGTACAAGACAGACAGGGAGCTGTTGGAGGGGGTCCAGGGGAGGGCACTAAGGTGATCAGGGGCTGCAGCAGCTCCCCTATAAAGACAGGCTGGAGGAGCTGGGCTTGTTCAGCCTGGAAAAAAGAAGGCTGCAGGATGAGCTCACTGCAGCCTTTCAGAGCCTACAAACAGGAGGGGAATCAAATCTTGGAAAAAGGACATAACAGCAGGACAAGGGAAAATGGTTTGAAGTTGAGGGAGGGCAGACTGGGGTTGGATGTCAGGGGGAAGTTGTTTGCTGTGAGAGTGGTGAGGTGCTGGAACAGCTGCTCAGAGGCTGTGGATGCCCCGTCCAGCCCTGGAGGTGTTCAAGGCCAGGTTGGTGGGGCCCTGGGCAGCCTGGGCTGGTGTGAAATGTGGAGGTTGGTGGCCCTGCGTGTGGTGGGGGGTTGGAGATCCATCATCCTCGAGGTCCCTTCCAGCCCTGGCCGTTCTGTTGTTCTGTGATTCTGCGAGTGGGGCTGTGGGATGTTGGGAGGGGTCTTAGGGGCTGTCTTGATGCTGCATCCCCTGTCCTCCTATAGGAAACCCCGCCGGGGGGGGACCCCTCCTCACCAACTACGCGCTGACGCTGCTGGTGCTGTTCTTCCTGCAGACTTGCAGCCCCCCCGTGCTGCCCACAGTGGAGGAGCTGCGTGAGTTGGCAGGTAACGCTGCTCTGCCCATCCCATAATGCTCCTCGTGTCGCTCTGTCCGTTTCTCTGTCCATCCCACGAACTTCTTTTTGTTTCTCCATCCATTTCTCAGTCCCTCTGTGCCCCCCGTGATGCTTCTCCTGTTCTTCCGTCCCTCCTTATTGTACTCCTCTGTGCCTCCATTTCTGCATCCCACAATACTTCTGTATCCCTTCATCTCTCTCTCCCTTTTCCCATCCCATAATACTTCACCATCCCCCTGTTTCATCCCTTACCTCTCCCTCGTTTCCTCCATCCCACAGCACCGTCCCTCCCTTCGTGGTGGGATCCTCCTCCCTTCTATCCTCCCTCTCTCTTCCTTCCTGCTTTTGTCTCATTCTACTTCTCCCTCCTTTCCTCCCTCCATCCCATAATCCTCCTCCCTCCATCCCATAATGCTCTCCCTGCTCTCTCAGGGCCGGACTGCCTCGTTGTGGAGTCAGGCTGGGACTGCAGCTTTCCCTGCGATGCAGCGTTGCTGCAGCGCAGCTCCAACGGCCGCAGTGCTGGTGAGTGCCTCCATCCCTCCCTCCTCCTCCCCTCCCTCCTCCTCCCCTCCCTCCTCCTCCCCTCCCTCCCTCTCTCTCCACTTCATTCTTCTCCCCTCTCTCACTTCTCCTTCCTTCTCACACTCTTCCTCTCCTCTCTCCTTCTCTCCTCCCTCCCCCTCTCCTTCTCCATCTCCCTTCCTCTCCCTCACTCCTCCCTTCCTCTCCCCCTCACTCCTCCTTTCACTTCTCCATCCCTCTCCTCTCTTCTACTCCTCCTCCCTCTCTTCTTCCTCCCTCTCTCCTTTTTCTCTCTCTTTTCTGCTGTCCTTCTCCCTCTTGCTCCTCTTTCTCCTCCTCCATCCCTCTTCCTCATGCTTTCTCCTTCTCCATCTCTCTCTCTTGCTCTCCATGTCTCTCCTCTTTCTCCTTCACTCCTCCCTCCCTCTCTCTTTTGCTTCTTCCTCTCTCCTCCATCCTTCTCCCTCTTGCTCCTCCCTCTTCTCCATCTTTCTCCCTCTCTCCTGTCTCTCCCTTAATTTTCCTTTTCTCTCTCTTGCTTCTCCCTCCCTCCCTCCTCTGTTCCTCTCCCCCTCCCCCCCTCACTCTCTCCCTCTCCTCCAGGTTCCCTCCTGCCCGAATTCTTCCACCTCTTTGGCTCCTTCCCCTTCACGACGCACTTCCCCTCCCTTCGCCACGGCCGCCCGCTGCCCCTCTCAGCCGCCGACCCCCTCCTCAAACGGACCCCCCTCACCCTCCCGGATCCCTTTGAACTCAGCCACAACGTCGCCTCCAACGTCAGCCCCAAAGCAGCTCTGCGTTGGGGCCAAAGCTGCCGCGCGGCCGCCAAATATTGCCGCAGCCTTCAGTACAGCCACAAATCCACCAAGGGTCGCTCCTGGGGTTTGCTGCGTCTCTTCCAACCCGGCGCCGTGGAACCTGGAGCCGGGGCTGGCTCAGCTTTCCTCATCCCCATCCCGTTGGATGCTGCTGCTGGTGGTGGTGGTGGGTTGAAGGAGGTCCGTGCTGCCGTCCTCTTCGTGCTGAGGGACGTCCTGCGCTGCGCTGTGGGGCCGAAGGAGAGGGGGGTGGGGGAGAGTGGGGTGGACCGTGGGCTCTTGGAGGACTCTGAATGCTTGGAGGACCCCAAAGGAGATCCTACGGTTGACCTCAAGCTTTTGGGAGTTCCTGGAGTGGGCTCTGATCTCTTGGAGGACTCTGAACTGTTGGAGGATCACAAATTGCAAGACCCCAAAGTCTTGGGAGCTCCTGGTATGGACCCCAAAGTCTGGGAGGACCCCAAAGGTTTGGGAGCTCCTGGAACAAACCCCAAAGTCTTGGAGGAGCCCAAAGACTTGGATGATTCCAAATTGCAAGACCCCAAAGTCATGGGAGCTCCTGGAATGGAGCCGAAAGTCTTGGAGGACTGCAAAGGATCTCCTACAGCAGACCCCAAAATTTTGGAAGTTTCTGGAATGGATCCCAAAGTCTTGGAAGAGCCCAAATTGCAAGACCTCAGAGTCCTGGGCACTCCTGGAATAAACCCTGAACTCTTGGAAGACCCCAAAGGTTTGGAAGCTCCTGCAGTGAACCCCGAACTTTTGGGGGGCCCCCAACTCCTGGAGGACCCCAAATTGCAAGACCCTGAAGTCATGGGAACTCCTGGAATGGACCCCAAACCCATGGAGGAGGACCCCAAACTGATGGAAGTTTCAGGAATGGATCCCAACATCCCAGAGCTGCCCCCACCAGTGGGTTCCAAACGGCCCCAACCCAAAGGGACGAACGGCACCGCAGCCCCCGCCACCAAACGGCAGCGGGTGAACGACCCCCAGGAGGAGGAGAAGGAGGGGGAGGAGGAGGAGGAGGAGGAGGAGGAGGAAGCAGCACGTTGGAGCTGCACCGTGTGGCACCGCGTGTGGACCGGGCGCCGGCGCCTCCGCCGTCAACTGCGGCACCAGGATGGCACCAGTGGGGTCCATGGGGACACCAGTAGGATCCATAGGGACACCAGTGGGCCCCAACATGGGGATGGGGGCACCAATGGGCTCCTTGGGGTTGGTGGCACCAGTGAGTGCCATGGGGACACCAGTAGGGGCCGTGGGGACAACAGTGAGTCCCAAGGTGGGAATGGGGGCAACAATGGGTTCCATGGGAGCACCAGTAGGATCTATGGGGACACCAGTGGGCCCCAACATGAGGATGGGGACACCAGTGGGTTCAATGGGGACACCGGTACGGGCCATGGGGACAGCAGTGGGCTCCAACTTGGGGTCGGTGGCACCAGTGAGCTCCATGGGGACATCAGTGGGACCCAACATGGGGATGGGGACAGCAGTGGGCTCCAAGGTGGGGATGGGGACACCAATGGGCTCCATGGGGCTGAGGGCAGGAGTGAGCTCCAAAGTGGGGACACTGATGTGTTCTGTGGGGATGAGGACCCCAACGAGCTCCAAGATGGGGACCCCAGCGGTTCCCCTGAGGACCTGGACTTGGAGCAGAAGGTGACAGCCGCCATCTTGCAGCAAAATGGCGCCTCTCGACCTGCAGAGCCGCTGCTCCGTTTCGACGCCGACGTCCGGCTGACAGCGGGGGGACAACGGGCGCTGCTCCGCCTGACCCCCACCCCGGGGCCGGGGCCACTTTTTAGGGATTTTTTCCATTTTTTGAGGGTTTTTCTGCCCCCGATGGTGCGGAGGAGGATGGGGTGGAGCTGGGGGGGGGACAATAAATAAGTGATGTTTGGAGCAGCGTTGTGTGGTCTGGGGGTGGGAAGGAGTGATGTGGTGCAAAAAAGGGCAAAAAAAAGTCAGAGCTGCAGCTTTAAGGACCCTTCGTACCCCATCCGTGCTTCTGTGATCTTCAAGGACCTTTTCAATCTATTCTATCTTGAAATATTTTTCCAACTTTCCTCATTTTTGTGACCTGCAAGGACCTTTCCAACACATTTAATGCTTCTGTGGTCTTCAAGGTCCCTTCCATTCCCCCCCTGTATTCACTCAATTGATGGTTCTTTGACTTTTAAGGACCCTTTCAACCCCTTCTGTGATCTTTAAGGACCCTTCCAACCCAACCCAATCCATGGCTGTATGACCCTCTAGGACCTTTCCAACCCCTGACTTTAAGGACCATCCTCTCTCCTCCCGTCCCCTTTTGTGACCTTCCAGGACCTCCCGGCCCCGCCCCAGCTCCGGATTCCTACCAATGGCGAACGAGGGGCGGGATCATAACAGAGTCTAGCCAATAGCAGCAGAGCGGCGTGCAGCTTAGGGGCGGGGCAATCGCAATGCGGCCCAATGGCAGAGAAGCGGGAATAAACGGGGGGCGGGGCTGCAGCGGGACGGCCAATGGCGGAGGGGCGTTTGCAGGCGAGCCAATAGCGGAGAAGCGGTATGCGAGGGGGGCGGGGCCTTAGCGCGGTGGCCCAATAGCGAAGGAGCGGGGGGGCGGGACAACGGTAGGGCGGCCAATGAGCGGAAGGGCGGGGGGCGGGACGCTGTCGGGGCGGTCCAATGGCGTGCGGCGAAGGGGGCGGAGTTCCGGTGGAGGCGGCCATGATGGCGGAGGAGCGGCGGTTCGCGGAGCTGCCGCGGGAGGCGGTGCGGCGGATGGCGGAGGGGGCGGGCGCGGAGCTGAGCGAGGAGGGGGCGGCGCTGCTGGCCGAGGACGTCTGTTATCGCCTGAGGGAGGCGGCCCAGGT